TTTCTTGATATTCTCAATTTGATGAAACATCATTCTCATACTTTCCTTTAGTTCTTCGTGCATGCTCTTTGAGTATATTTAAAATAGTTGATTTAAAGTCTTTGTCTAGTAAGTCCAATATCTGGACTTCCTAAGGAATAGTTTCTATTAATTTCTTTTTCCTTGTGTGTGAACCATGCTTTCTTCTTTCTTTGCCTACCTCATAATATTTCATTGAATACTAGACATTTTAAATATATAATGTGGCAACTGTATTCTTCCACCTCCCCAGGATTTGTTTTTGCTGCTTGTGGTTGGTGTTGTTTGTCTAGTGACTTTTCTGAAATATACACTTTTGTAAAGTGTATTATTCTTTGCTTTATATGGCCACTAGAATCTCTGTTCAGTTGGCTTAGTGATCAGCTAATGAATCCGCAGACATTTCCTTAAACATTTGGAACCAGAAATATACAGTCTTGTGTTGCTTACTTATGGGGATATGTTCTCAGAAATGCATCATTAGTCAATTTTGTCATTGCGTGAACATTATAGAGTGTATTTACAAAAATCTAGATGGTATGGCCTAGTATAGCCTATTGCTCCTAGGCTGCAAATCTGTACAGCATGTTATTGTACTGAATACTGTAGGCAATTGTAACACAATGGTAAGTATTGGTGTATATAAAAATAGAAAAGGTACAGTAAATATATTGTATAAAAGATAAAAAATGGTGCAACTGTATAGAACACCTGCTATGAATGGAGCTTGCAGGACTGGGAGTTGCTCTGGGTGAGTCAGTGAGGGGTGAGTCAATGTGAAGACTTAGGACATTACTGTATACTACTGTAGACTTTATAAACACTGAACACTTAGGCTACACCAAATTAAAAAAAAATTTTTTTTCTTTTTTCCATAATAAATTAACCTTAGTTTATTATAACTTTTTTGCTTTATAAACTTTTTAATTTTTTTAACCTTTTAACTCTTTCTTAATAATACTTAGCTTAAAACACAAACACATTATATAGCCGTACAAAAATGTTTTCTTTATATCCTTATTCTATAAGCTTTTTCTATTTACATTTTTTTTTTTTTTTTACTTTTAAGCTTTTTTCTTAAAAACTAAGACACAAACACACACATTAGCCTAGGCCTACACAGGGTCAGGATGATCAACATCACTGTCTTCTACCTCTATGTCCTGCCCCACTGCAAGATCAGTAACACACATGGAACTGTCATTTTTTTATAATAGCAATAACTTCTCCGGTGTATCTCCTGGAGGGCCTGCCTGAGGCTGATTTACAGTTAGCTTTTTTTTTCTTTTAATAAGTTGAAGGAGTACACTCTAAAGTAATAATAAAAAGTATAATGTAGTATAGTAAATATATAAACCAGTAATGTACTTGCTCATTATCAAGTATTATGTACTGTACATAATTGAATATGCCATACTTTTATACGACTAGCATCACAAGTTTCTTTACACCAGTATCACCACAAACAAGTGAGTAATGCGTTGCGCTATGACGTTAGGATGGCTAAGATGTCACTAGGTGACAGGAATTTTTCAGCTCCAGTATAATCTTATGGGGTCACTGTAGTATATGTGGTCCATCATAATGGCAGTGTTGCTATGAGGTACGTGACTGTATGTATGGATCTCCCAGTGGGTTCTATGTATATGTTGGGGCATGCCTTCTTGTGGGCAATTTACAGCTCTTCCTTAGCCTTCAGTTTTTTCCTGTGCAGAGCCTGAAGATCAGCCAGGGGTAAGAACTTATGGCCCTCTCAGGTGTTTCTGAGCATGTGCTCTGAAAATTAGGAGGCATGGCCTTCTAGTTTCCAAGGAATATGGGGGGGCTTTACCAAGCCCTTATTCCCACAAAGCTGCTCACTCCCCGGTCTTTCCTCACTTCCTGGCTTTTGATTTATTCATTGTTTGCCCCAGTTGCAATCCCTTGCCCCATCAGTACCAGCTAATAAATCTACCTTTAAGTGTTTTTGACAAATGCTCTCTCTGCCCTGGTAGAGCTTTGAGTTTGGCAAAACAGAGGTAAGCCCTTTACGCAGTGTGTCAGGGGGCCAACAGATAGGTCAAAATAAACCACCATGGTTCTTTGAGAATAGGGTCAGCTCTGCTCCCTCTGGCATTAGGAATCCACACCAAGAACCTAGGTTGGCATCTTCAGGACCCTTAGTGAAAATCACCTGTCTTTTTCTTAAGTGTTTGCCTGATTACTGTAAATTTTGACTGGTTTTCAGAGTTCAGATAAAGTTGATTATTGACAGTTTAAGAGTGATTATCTGTCTCTTTATGGAGGTCATCTGAGTGCTAAGATAATTCATGTTTAGTTTGCCAAAGAACCATATCACATTTAGAAGAAAAAGAATCCTGGCAAATGAATCCAGTAGATCTCCTGATATCAAAAGTGTTAAAGATGGCCAGTTCTCCCATAATGCTATCAAAAATTTTTCTCTACAAGCCAGAGAGATAAAAGGCCTAATCAGCTGAATATGGGAGATGAATGTTCTAACATTCAGGCCTTTAATAGAAATGCAGTGTAAACTGTGTTAGAGAAGCCAACATTTATCAGAGTCTTTACCTTTAAAACTCCAGTGGAACATACTCACATTGCAGTTTTGTGAACATGTTCCATATAGCTTATCAGATCAACAAGAATGTAGCAGCTGTTCTGCTGCCTTCCCTAAGCTGTATCTTCTTGTGAAGTTACTCAGCCTAAATCTAAACAGTCAACATAGAGATTTCTGATTCTGAAGCAGCGTTTTCTGGGTTTGAATTATGTTTTCATCTGTGTGCCTGTAGTACGAACTTGAGGAAGTTACTGAACCTTTCTCTGCCTGACTTACCTCTTCAGTAAAATGGGCCTGAGAATAACTGTACACACATCATAGATTTGTTATGAGGACAAAATAAGTTAGATTTATGAGTAAGTAAAATGAAAGAAATGTATAAGCTAGCTTGAGGTACAACTTGCCTAGAGCATGTCTTTGTAGATAGGAAAATGGTTTTGTTTTTCAGTTGCCTCTACTCAGGGTAGAGCTTATTGGTGACATAACTCAACTGGGTGGATCCTCAAGAGGGAAATAGGCCCTGTTTGTGTGTAGCCTGAGAGACTCGTTTCCTGGTCAGAAGAGAACTGTCTATATCTGTTGCTGGGTGAAAAACAACACCATGAAGTTGGTAAGATGCATCCTAAGGTTGGGGGTGCAGGAAGATGATCTGGGGGACCAGGAGGGTAAGACAAGATGATGAGAGACAAGGCTAAGAAAATTGGAAAACATAGGCACTTGGGAGCTGCTAAAGGGTTTGAAATAGAACCATCTGGCCACGTTTGCATTTGGGGTACCCATTGCAGCAGAAAAATGGAGGATTGGTGTCAGAATGACAAGAAGGGAAATGCCTTAGGTGACTATTAGTCATTTTTATTTTTAAGGAAGTCATAGATGCTCCATAATGAGCATGTATTAATTTTGTAATGGAAGAAAATACATACACTCTTAATTTCTAAGAAATCTACTTTTGGAATAATTTTCTTTATGATATAGTCCCAATCTAATAAAATCTAAAATTAAAATCCCAATTAGAGAATAGTTATTCATTTAACACTTGACCTCTTTGCTCAACAAAAGGATTCATCATGGATTTTCATTAAATAATCATCCTTTTCTACCACATTACCTATCCTGTAATATAGGGAACATGTCAATTTCATTAAGCAAATTAGAATGAAAATTGCAACCATATTATTAATACCTGCAATACTTACTTTGCCAATTTTATAGCTCCTCAGCCCTCTACATATCATAAAATATTCATACCTTGGGTAGCATACTAGCCTGGAGCAAGAAGCCCCAGAAAACTGGTAATGAAAATAATGGTTTATTAAGGAAAAATTGACAGACTAATTAGTTATAGTCTCACTTTGTCTCTTTCTAACTCTATTTCTTTAACAACTATTTAGTCCCAAGTATATAGATTTTTTGCTGGTTTGGTTTTTAGTTATTTGAAATTTTTAGTAAAGTAGTTTTAGGAATTAATTGAACAAATAGCTATCAAACAAGAGACAACATTTAATAGAATAATAGCAATTTTATTATAATTTGCCCCAATGTGAATATGTTATTGGAATATCTTTAAACTCAGTGGAGATCAGTTTTAAACCCCAGCTTGATAGTGTGCTCTTTATTGTTGTCATGCATTTTATACTGGCCATGTAGAATGATATTCTGTGATTTTACCTGTGCACACACGATTATGTAAAATGTAATTTTAACGTCCACTTAATCTGAAGTACTGAACCATAGTGACTTTTTAAATATATTTAAACTGTATTAGTAATACATAGATGTTGGGCAAATTTATTTTTACAAACCAGCCTGAGGAAATTGTACAACATTGAAAACACTTTAATAAATGTTAAGTACAATATACATAACTATTTCTAATCATAATTATTTTAGATAAATGCATTCTAACTGCCTTTGAATAGGCATACTTTTTGGCATATGAAATTGAGATTCCATAGGTTGTTGTTAGATGGTAAATTCAGTATAAATAGCAATAAAGAAACCACATATGGTTAGTCTGGGATTCAGAAATTGGCTTTCAGATTCTCAAATAAATAAAGACCTTCTTTGAAGGCACACAGATGTATTAATTTTTAATTTGTTTCTTTTTGATCTCTTAATTACTGAAAAAGATTTATTGGTTAATTTTAAGAAGGCAAGTGTTTGAAAAGTTTTGCCAAATACTGTCTTCTTTAAATGACTGTATGGTAATGAAAGGTTAAGACGAGAGCCAAATTAGATTGAATAATTGTTCAGTCATGTGGGTCAGGCTAGTTGCATAGCCTGGTTGTTAGACTGATTGCTCAAATTACATTGCCTGGGGTCCTGCACTTGGTTGGCTGTCTTCTCAGATCTTAACAAGGTTCTGGGAATTTCTTTTTCTGACAAAGTTTGCTTTGTATTTTCCCCCTCCCCCTACCACCTCCAGGATGCTTCATCTGCAGACATCAGAAAAGCATATCGTAAGCTTTCACTAACTTTACATCCAGACAAGAATAAAGATGAAAATGCAGAAACTCAGTTTAGACAAGTAAGTGAAATATGCTGTAATATACATTTTGTGACAAATGTGTTAATAAGTTTGTTTATTATAGAAATATTAACATATATAGAATGTTTCCATTTGAAAATGAGGTAGTTTAAAAATATGTATATATTTTAATTCAACTTTTTTACAAAATACGTTTTTATCATTTTGTATTAGCATCTCTAAATTCTTAGAGGGTTATAATTCTCATAATTTTCTTGTCTAAATTATGGCTTTTGCTTCTATAATTCACATTTTAAGGTAATTATTACTTTTGCATCTTTCACAAAGATTCATTTTGATATCAAGCATTTTTTAACTTCTGAAGGTGCTACCAAAAACATAAACTGTTACTGATATTTGAGATTTTATCTGTTTATCGTATATTTGGGCACATAGGGATTTCTGCACGTGAATTATAATACCTTCACCTTCCTACATGATTTCTTATAGTTGAGAGTATTTTTATTTTAAAGTAATGCTTCTATTTTAGTTGGTGGCCATTTATGAAGTTTTAAAGGATGATGAACGAAGGCAGAGGTGAGTGTTCACTTTGGCTTTTGAATTAAGATCTTATAGTTTCATGCCATAGTTTATAAAGGAAAGAATTAAGTCTCATGAAACATTTTGTTTATTGTAAGTTAGTATTTTTTTTGTTGTTCCTTCCAAGAAATGCAATGTCTTTAAAATACGTTTGGAGCAGAGTTAATTTCTATTGAAAATATTCTCTAGGTTGATTTGATACTTACAGGCTCAGGATCATGAGTCATAATGTTAGCAAGTCTTGGCTTCATTAGATAAGATTTTTAACGTGGCTGTTTATGCCCTGGGAAATACAAATAGCACTTGACTTCAAACAAATGTCCATTCTTTTCAATATATCAGCAATGGCTCCTATCTGGTGGTCTTTTCCCCCACTATTCCTTAAATGTTTGAGATTTAACTGTTAGTGATAGTTAATACTCTTTCTTGCTGTTTCCTCACTCTCAGAATAATAAATCCAGTTATATAAGCTTGTGTAAGCCTATAGAAAATAGGGGTGGAAAAAATATATTTGCCTCTTTATCCTGTTTCTCCTTTGCTTCCTTCCCTCTGCTCCAGTGATTCTGCATTTAGGGTTAAACTTCAGAGTGGAGGCAGCCCCTCACTCTAACACTTCTTTGGCCCCTTTCAGAATAGGGGTAATATATTTATATAGTGGTTTATAGTGCCAGTGACTTAAGAGGAGATTGCAGAGAGGCCCCTTTCCTCTACTGCTACAGAATTTGTGGAATGTAGACATGATTGTGGTGGGCTTCAAAAATTTTTAAGTCAGATCTTAGTAAGAAATACATTTTGCATCATGCCTCAGGACACACACACACACACACACAACTGAAACCAAAGTTTCACAAAACTTCCTATTTCATGTGAAACATATTATTTTCTGGGCTAGTCTAAACTAGGCTTTTTTTTATTTTTAAACAATGCTGGTAGTAGTCCTCTGAGTTAATTTCACAAGACACTAGTGAGCCACAATCCAAAATTTGAAGATGTTGCTCTATAGTAACAGTGCCTTAAAATAAAAACAACCTAGGTATTTGAGGTTTAAGCTAAAGGTAGCCTAAATGTCTGTATTTCTATATGGGGGCTAATACATCTTAAAGATTACCCCCCAAAATATGCTCTGTGACATTCTGAATCTTCAAATGTATTATCTGGAATTATTCTCTATCCAAAAATGTTAGCTACCACTCTTGGTTCTTTAACTTGAATATCTCAGTTTGTCAGATTGCAAAGCAAGGATTCAGTATGTTCTCTTAAAGTGTTCTTTGCGTTATAACAAGGGCTGGCATTGGTCCAGATACCATAGCAGACATTCCTCTGGTTTGAGATAATCCATAATGTTGAAAGAGTCCTGGAAGTGTGTTGAAAGAATTGTTGGTCATTCTGTGCATATTTTCTAGTTGGTTTCTCTCAGTGAGCCCTTAGTTTTGTTTCACACATCAAGAATGTGTCTGTAAAGATAGCTTTCTTTAGTCTTCTAACAGCTTTGGCTTTAGATTTTGTCTTTTTTGTTTGTTATCTTAAAAGTCAGTAAAGTTTGTAATAATTTCTTTCAGTTACCAAAATTATTTCTATCTTTTCATAACAAATCACTTTTTATGTATAAATTGTTTCTTCATTAACACGGAATCATCTAACATTCTCTCTTAAGGATTAGTTCCCTCTGCATTTACTTTGGAGTGTTGGTAGAAAAAATGGATGTGACAGTTACACAAACAGCTGTAGTATTTATACACCCTGAGGCACAAGTAACTCTTTGGTAACTGGTTTTCCTTGAGGCAAAAGTCTTAACTAATCTAGCTGAGAATCGCTCCTCTAAAGCTTGCACCTGAGGCCAGGTGACCTATGAGTATTTAAACATACCAAAAGGCATCTCTGCAGACAATTACCTAATGTTTATAATTCCTTTAGAAGAAAAGCACAGTCAGCTTTAACTTCGAAAAGAAGCTTGTCTCATATTGGCATTAAAAGTGCTTTTTGGTCTCCCAATTATTTATTACAAATATTCATTGAATAAGTGCTTTTAAGTGCATAACCTTCTAGGAATTTGCAGCTTGGAAAATTGTCATGGACATAGTTCCTGTTTATTTCCCTTACATAGAATTATGTTTTCACTGAAATCAGTTACATTCTTTAAATTTTGGTGGAAAAGGAAATAACAATGAAATAGATAAATTAACAAACTGGATAACCTTTTTTAAAAAAAAAAAAGAAAATGCAAGTTTTATTTTTTAACAGCCTTATTCAGATGGAATTTGCATACCATAAAAAGTCACCTGTTTTAAGTATACAATTTAGTGATTTTCCACAAATTTACAGAGTTGTGCAATCCAATTTTAGGACATAATCACTTTAGAAAATTCTCTCAACCCATTTGCAGGACATCCCCATTGTAATCCCCAGCTCCAGGCAATCAGCGATCTACTTTGTGTCTATAAATTTGTATTTCTGGACATTTCATATAAGTGGAATCATGCAGTATGTAGTTTTTTGCATCTGGCTTCTACTAACATAACGTTTTTGAGGTTCATCCATATTGTAGCAAATACCAGCAGTTCATTCTTTTTAATTGCTGAATAGTATTCCAATGTGTGAATATATTAATACTACTTTTATTTATACATTCCCCAGTTGATGGACATGTGAGTTGTTTCCACTTTGGGGCTGTGATGAGCAATGCTGCTACAAAGATTCACATATAAATCTTCTTGTAGACATATGTTTTCCTTTCTCTTAGATATATTCCTAGTAGTGTGATTGTGAATGAACTTTTAAGCATTTTTCTCCCCATAGGCACAGACTATGCATGAAAATACATATTGACTTAATGACATATTACTCAATGACGGACCATGTATATGTTGCTGGTCCCCTAAGAGTATAATTCCGTGTTTTTACTGTACCTTTCCTATGTTTAATAATGTTTTCATATACACATACTTACCATTGTGTTACAATTGCCTGCAGTATTCAGTACCATATATGTGTGTGGTAGGCTGTACCATCTAGGTTTGTGTAGGCATGCTCTATGATGTTCATACAACGAAATCACTTAACAGCACATTTCTCAGAACATATCCCCATCGTTAAGTAACACGTGACTGTAACAGGTTTTCCTGGTTAGTGTAAGGAAACCTAGCATAGCAGCCTTTTCTAAACTCCTTAGCTAACTTGTTTATTTTGGGAAACAGTAGCCTAGCAATGTTTCAACACATTTTTATATGAGTGCCTTGCTTGTTAGCTGAACCGAAGTACTGAGTACCAATCATTACATATGTACACTAGATCGTGCTTTAGTAATAGTAACATATTTACTTTTGTTTAAAATCTATTGTAAATATTTAACCAGTCTTATTTTGCTAACCCAATTGTACAACTTTAACTTTTTTGTCTATTTTATGTTACTTTATTTATAAAAGTTGAAAATAGTTTTTTAGTTTACTAAATCATGTTTTATTAACAAATGCAGTTAAAAGTATAATTATCTCAGCCTTAATCTGCTAAATTTTATAACTCCATTACCTGGTTATTGTAAACTTCATTACAGATGTATTCAAGTCAAAATAAACATTAATTTTCAGGATAAGAACTCTATTTTAGAACTGTCCCTAATTAAGAAATATAAGACTCCTATTATGTACAATAAATAAAGTTCTGTATACCATAATTTTTGGCATTTTTTTAAAGAAGAGCAAGATCAATTAATTCAGACTTTTTTCCTATTTATGATCTTTATACTATTAAATTTTGCTCAGTTTCAAAATGTAACCTAAATAGAGGTTACATTGGTTACAAAATGTAACCTAAATGGAGGTTGTTATTGTGTTAAACTAAATTTCAAGCTTTATATCATGAAAAATTCACAATTTAGGCAAATGCTAGAATTATTTAAATATTCATTTCATAATGTACAAATTTTCTATTTTAGTTACGTAATTACTATTTTATATTTCAAAATGTGCTAACATTTTAAATTCCCATAAATATTTTTTGCTGGTAATTAAATAATTTTTAAATTTATTTGTTTTCCAGTATTTATATTAGGCTAAATATGTTTGATAAATTGCAGATTATAGTATGAAACTCACTAATGATTATGTAACCATTATTTTATGTTCATCATGCATAAAGAAAATCAAATGAAGTAAACACACAGGAGGCCATATGTTGGATGTGTGGAATTGATCAGTTAATGTTTTGATTTCCAAGCAAGTGCTTTTAATAGTTCCATATGATTTTTTGCATCAGTGATGTTTTTATCATAGAGATTTTCTGTGTATTTTATAATATATTTCTGTATTTCTACAGTCTTCATCTGGATTTAACAAGTAGTTAAGTATAGTTGAGTCTCAGTTGCAGAGCATTTTAACAGTGTTATATGTTTAAATATAGAAAAAGCATAACGTGGTGTTTTAAACTTTGTGTTGTCAACATAATGTTTTTTCTTAAATAACTTACGAAAATAGTTTCTGTGTGTTCTTTAAGAAATGTATTTGTTTTTTCAGTGTTTCATCAGGAAAGCAGTGATTTATCTTTTAACAGCATATATTCTAAAAAGTGAACTATAATAGAGGCTATCTTTCCTTAAAATGGCCAGTCGTGTGAGCCATAATGTTCATTGATAGTAAAATCAATAGAGCATTGATTCTAAGCTTAATCCTTGGAGACTGTTGTTTAGAGTGGCAGACATAGCCTGGTAAATATCTAGTTGTGTTTAATGTGTTCAGTACATGAGGTTTTGCTATCTTGAATTTGGTTGTGCACTAAATACAGTTTATATGTGGGTTGGAAAATAGTAGCTATTGACAGATACATAGCATTTTCAGCTATGACGGTGATAAAATATTTGATATGTGGTTCTTAGCTATGTGTTTTCTTTCAATACAGTTTAGTTAGATCTATACCAGATTTAATACTTAGGGATGCTATCAGGGAATTGTCTCCACTTTCTTAGACATTCTTTATTAATGACCATACTGTTTACATGAAGTTATTTCTTGGGAATGATTTGCTGAAAACAGTGATTTTTATATTCATCTTTTTTTCTTTCTACAAATCTGAACTGGAATATGAATTTAAAATAAATTCAGGACTTAACATTCGTTGGACTTCATTTGAATGTTGTAATCTTGTGTTATGCCATTACCTACCCATTTCTAATTTAAAATGAAGCAGGTTTTATAAGATAGATTTAAATATAAATTTTTGAGGACAGAAATGATAGTTTTCTATGAAGTCATGTTGTATCTTGATGTTAATATTCAAGAATTTTTATGAATATTGAAAAAGAATATTTAATACCAAGTTTTGTTTGGCCCAGCTACTTTACAACCATATTTTAATTTGTAGACTCTTGTATGTTACAGTTTGCCTTTTAAGATTTTTAGTACTAATTAATGTCCTTTGCTTTCAACATTGGTTATTCTGATCTGATAGTATTATTAATAACCTAAGTTGATCTAAAAGTCAGGTTTCATATTTGCTAGTAAAATATATTTTGCATTTATAGCTAAATATTTTTCTACTGAAAAAAGAAGTTGCCTGTAATAAATCCTCTGCTTTATTTTTTTTAGCATATCTCCAAGGTATCAATTTAATAACTATCAAAGTAGCTACTGCAGTTGTTGCATTTAAATTGATTTACATGTCAAGACTGGCAGTTTAGCAGCTGCGCTATTATTCCTAGATCGGTCAATTTACTTGAGAAAAACCTACTACTGAGTTCTACTGACCTGCCTGACAATATAGGCCCTATTTCTATTCCTGTAATTAGGCCTGCGACTAACTCAGAATATTTTTAATTAAAATATTTTGGTCAATGTGTTGCACCAAATTAGGCCTTTCAGTGAAGATTTAATTCTGGAAATAGTGTGATTAGAATATTTAATGAGTTGTGTTCAATTAAGATTAACAGGTTGTGTGTGTTGAACGTACAGTGTTTGTATGTGACCATTTTGAGTTTCACAATCATAAATGTTACTCCTTATTTTTAACCTTAAAAATATTTGCTCAATAATTGTCTGAGAAATAAGTTTAAATTCAGTTGAAATTTTATTTTAAAGTAACTTTTTTAGCCTCGTAGTACCAAGAAAGCCGATTTAAAATGCATGACTAGGAAAGCTTTTACTTGTTAATGTTCTTCTCTTCTTCCAGCAAAAGCCAAAAATGAGGATATTGCCACAAATGTTTACAAATAGTTTTATTGAGAAATCTGACATAAACAGTGGTTGTTTCCACATCTTTTTCTAATTTGAGTGTTTTATTTTCTAAAGTAATGTGGCAGTACAAAATTAAAAGGTGCTTATTTTATAGGCTCTTACCTCATTAAAAAGCTTTGATAAAATAGTGTATATAAATATTTCAACCTTGGCTCACCATAGTATAGGGGTAGAAATAAAAGCACTGATAGAAAATTTATTGTGAATTTGATTCAATTAATATGTAAATACATGGTAACAAATATCTCTTATCTTGATTTTTCTTCCGTTGAGATCTTTCCTTTTGTTGCTGACTTTAGTGGTGGGCTCTTTACTACGACTGTAGTAGACAGGTAGACTATAGGTAGCTCCTTTAGTTGAGATGTCATTGTATTAATAGGAGTCACATCTGTGGGTGCCGTAAAAACACTAGATCTGGTATACACAGTATATTACTGTGCACCTTGTTGAAGGTGGTCAGTGACTAGAGCTAGACATGGTAATACTGGTGGTCTACATAAATGTATCTATTTTGGAGAAATTCTTTTCTCTCTCCTCTTTGTAAATACAGATACAAATAAAGTTTTTTGGTTTTATTTTAAACTCCCATGAAAAACTGTTATATTTGCTACTGTAGGTATGATGATATTCTCATCAATGGACTTCCAGATTGGCGACAGCCTGTGTTCTACTACAGGCGGGTGAGAAAAATGAGCAATGCTGAGCTGGCATTACTGTTGTTCATTATTCTCACAGTGGGTCATTATGCTGTGGTTTGGTCAATCTACCTGGAAAAACAACTGGTAAGTATTAGTAATAAATGATCTAGTCTCCCTAATGTTATGTGGAATGTCAGACATTTATTTTTCAACGGATGAAAATTTCAGTTTTTCTATATGTACTCCTCATTCCTGTAGTTTTGTGCTCGATATTTAGTGATTGACATATTTTTAAGTCAAGAGGAACCCATGAAATAAGAAGAAAATATCCTTCTTTTTTAGAAATGTGGAACTTGAGTTTGTTATAAAACTTCATGAATACCCAAATATCTAGCTGAAAATTACAAAGTCAAGTCATGTTTTCTTAGTTATCACCTTCCAAATAGAAATATTTTTTATGTAAGACATATTTTAGGAATTTTTTGTGTCACAGGCCCTTATATAATGAATGTCAACTTTAAAAATGTTTTAACTAAATGAGATTTGAAATGAATTTAGTTTTATAACTTCAGATCAGTTGGTTAAAAAATTATTATACTTTTCTTGGTCTAATATGCTATTATATAGTTTATTCTGCTGTGGATTTTATTTATATGTTAAAGATAATCCAACATATTTATCAGTCTTCATGAATTAGCATCTGTTTACTCATTCCTTTTGAAGTGACATTATTAAAGTTGGATGAATGAGAAAAAGTGAGTTGAATGCTTTCTCTGCTTAGAAAACTTTGATTGCTATGGAGATGCACATGACTGACAGTGCTGAACTTCATGTGTGTTTAAGGCCTGGATACCATGGCAACAGTTATTGTGAAAGATTGATGATTTTACTTAATCATGTTGGACCTTACATATATTTGCATAAATGTTCTTCTATAATGTTTACCCTTCACAGAAGAGTCTTGATAACATTTGAAGAATACATGTTAATGATAACCTGTAACCATAATTCTTTCCACATTAAGGATGAACTGCTTAGTAGAAAAAGGAGAGAAAAGAAAAAAAAGACGGGCAGCAAGAGTGTGGACGTGTCAAAACTTGGTGCTTCAGAAAAAAATGAAAGGTAGCAGCATATAAAAATATTTTATAATTTGAAACCATTTTAAAATATGTCTTTAATATGATTCAACTTCATGTATATATCCATTTAGATATGTTCTCATTTACATCTGTAGTAGGTTTATGAAAGACTAATAATGTGTCATAGTTTGTTAGACAAATTCTAATCTTAAGCAAAATTTCTACAGATTTTTTTTCCTTTATAAAGTGTTAATAAATATTTAAATAATGTAAACCCTCAAATTCTTATAGTTTGAAATTTTTATACTAACTTTAGAAGCAAAGTATTACTAGAAGAATCTATCACTGAGCTCAAGAGTGACAATATGTAGAGGCAGTGATATGCGGTACACTCAAAAAGATACCACCATTTCTTCTATTGATTCATAGAAAGGAATAAAGGGTTTAAATAGTTCACACAGCAGGGCATGAACTGGGATCAATGTGGGATGGAGATCAGAGACTATTCTGCCTGTCTTCTATGCTGATGACATCAGTGAGTAATGCTTCAGTGAACTGCAAATGACATTAATTTTTATGTATTGGTTTGTTTATGCTACAGTCTTCATATCTGGTTGTCAGCACTTGAGAACACACTGACGGTGGTTAGTTTTTTTATAGCTGAAGTAATCATAAGGTTTAAGATTTCATTTTGCAAAAGTGATGAAAAGCCCAGGTTAAAAAAGAGGGTTTTTATTTCTTTATCTTTATAACTTTAGGAGCCTCCTTCCCTCAAATCTTGTTATAAGTACTCTATTTCATGTTAGAATAAGTCAGATTAAGTGTTAACTGGCATAGATATTTCATTGAACACATTCTTCACTTTTTTTGTTGAAATAACCACTCAAAAAAGAATTCATAATCTGTATAAAAACATTTTGTCTCCCAGCTTTCTCTATATTTTGCTGATTTGTTGTTTGGGGTTTTTTTCTCCCCTTTTAGATTGCTGATGAAACCACAATGGCATGATTTACTTCCATGCAAGCTGGGAATTTGGTTTTGCCTTACACTAAAAGCATTGCCTCATCTCATCCAGGTAAAATGTACCTCTTTTATATAATATTAGATGCTTTCACTCTTAATTATTCATGAAATAATTTATGTTCATGTCTGCTATCTGCTGATATACAGTGGATACTTCATAATGTCAATTGAATTGAATAGTCTTTTATGAGTTAAACCTAATTTAGAATAGTTCTAAGATTATTTAGATATCTGTTCCCGTAATTATCTCTTACGTTGCTTTTAGATCACCTTAGAATTCCAAGACACTGGAAAAAGGAAAAAAAAATACCATCTTTAGGATAAACATAAAAGCAATAAAAAATTAATCCTCTGTTATCATTAAAGGCATAACCAGTAAAAAGTAACAAGACTCGAGTAGCTTGTCCCCCATTATTTTAATAGCATTTAAGTACATAGTATAAAAGAAAAACAACCTTCACGTGACCATCTGTATAATTATGCAAAAAAAAAATATTGCTTTCCATTTTGGCAACTTTAAGAGGAGTTAGGATATTTTGTCTTATGCTGGTAACAAAGTTTCTGTTTCTTCTTAGTCTTGATTAAACAATAAAATGTGAATATATATCATATTTATATGATAATTTCTTTTTTTTTACATTTAACATACCAAAGCATATTTTACTAAATTCTTGCTTTGCTAATTTTAATTATTGTATCTAGTTAGAAAATTTTCAGCATGTAAATATTTGAAAGTAAATATAATACTTTTTGATGTAAAATTTTGAGGTTATTTTAGTTTGTAATTTTTGAGAAGTGTTTTATTTTAAAAAATAATGTTGATAAGCTAGCGAGACAGATAATTTCTACCCAGTTCTACCCACTTTGTAGTCATATATCAGAGCTGTTTTTCCTGATTGTTTAAGCAAGCTAATCACTCCAACTTCTGAATTTTATTTTCCTTTTTCCTCTCACACTGAAAATTTTATATTTGAAGGGAAATGAACTAAAATTATTAATACAAGTTCTTCCATCAAAATAGTTCATCTTAATAGTTATTGCTTACAAAATCCTATATTTTGTTTATGGTTAATAGAGAAAATTTGTAGTATTTTGGTAATTTAAAGGCTTTTGTTTTTAAGTTGTTAACATGTTATATACTGTTAATTTGAGGAAAAAAATCCCACAATGCTTGTGTGCTATGTCTGTAAAACTTAATGAGAGAAGGAAAGTCTATCATACTGGTACGTTTATAAGAGGATGAGACAGAAAAATATTTTTAGGGCAGATTGTCATGTTTTTTAAGTCTGATGATTCTTTTGTCAGCTTTAGAATCTGTACAACAGACAAACCAGAATATAGGTGAGTTAAAAAGTATAGTCATGAGACTACTAAATAGAATATTACATAAAATGTCAATCTCAAACCCTTCTTTATAATTTTGCTCTGAGTAATTTCAAATAAAGTTGAGTTGGTAAAATTAATATAATTCTTGGTTAGCATGCAGGGTAATTTGCTAGAACTAGAACCAATATATTGTGATGACTTAGATTACAATTTATTATTTTAAATTATCTGCCTGTGGTATGTAGACCTAACAGATTAAGGGATTGTTTTGCCTCATCACAAATTTGTAGAAAATATACAAAAATAAGGAATTTAACAAAAACTTTTTAATCTCTTTAAAATCTCTGCTTTCTTAAACTGTTTGATCAGTTAGAATTTTAAAGTTTTTAATTACGTGATAGTACCTGTTACCTTTCAGTTTTGAAATGCTAAGCCTTAGGCTTTTAAGACCTTTATAAATCTAACTTTAGGATTTTTTTTCTAATTATTTATTCTTGATAAAAGCATTTCAAGAAGAAAAATAAGATGATTTTCCTTTTTTAAAGCAAATATTTGCTATTTTAATTCTGCCTTGGAAATGTAAGGTTACTTTATCTGGTGATCACTAACAAATAATGCAATGTAGTAGATTCTTTCTGACACATATTGTAATAGTAAAAGTATTTTAGATTGATAAACATACAGCTTATGAAAGACATCAGCAAGACAATACTGAATAGTTGTTTTTAGGATTAGATTTTTGTCTGCTTTTTTAAAAATTAGGCTGCTGTGACCTTTACATTAATTTGGGATCTTCTTAAATAAGATATTTGTGAAATTTGAAGCAAGTCCTTTTAACCTGAATCAAGCTGGATTAATTGGAACAGTGGTCAAAAAAGCTTTCAAGTTCACTTTTATTTCTTAGCATCTAAGATCCCTAAGAAAACTTGTATTGCCTGCTTAGTTTACCTAAATTCTTTTCTATTTCTTCCCCCAAAAAAATTATAAATGAGAATAAATATATCCATATTTGATACATAAAGCTTCTTCCGGTCATATGGTTAGACAGTTCAATAAAAAGATATTAAACACATATCAGAACAAGGCGCTATTGGGTTTACAGAGATGAATATGCCTTGTAGGACCGTATAGTCAGGTAGTGGTTATAACACATGAATTTAAATAACCATTATACAATACAGTATATAAGCTTCACATGTATAAACAATGACTTCTGCAGATGTTCAGAGAAATAGGGTTGTCTCTATTTAGGATGACCACAGAAAACTAAAAAGAGGAGCCACTTAAACTGAGTCTTGAAAGATGAATAGACACTTAACAGTGAAGTGCCCACTTTGTGTACTAGGTAGTATACAAAGATAATTTCGTAGATGCAGCACTTCCCATGCAGTCGTCCTGTGTTAAGGTTAAAAGAGACCGGGCGGTGGGGGGAAACTGGATATCATGCAGCCTATTACTATTATCTGAGACTCCATCCCAGGTCTCTAGATTCTGAGGATATCCATTTAGGAATTTATGGTCTAACAGATAAATCTGATATGATGAGTCTAAACATAACATGTAGACACAATAAAGTTAATTGATAAGACAACAAAGTCTTTCCATCACACACATCTGTCAAGGGTATGTGTACATTGTTAGGAGTGGTAGAAATAAAGTAGATAATGGCTACAAAATAGAAATAAAGCAGATAATGGCTATGAAATGGGCAGAAAATACTTGAAGTAGTTCTGTGATCAGGCAGGGTAGAAATCGGAGTATCTGATCATTCCTCCCTGCTTTTTGAGAAGGTCCTTATTTACCTCTAGTTCTGAATTTGGTTCCTTTCCTTTGCTCTATAAAAGATATGGGAGAATTATAAGAATCGAAAGAAGAACAAAGCCAAAGGATGAAAAGCTATTATTCTTGATACATGTTAAATATTTGATACTGTCAAATTAATATCAAACATTTTCCAAATGGATCAGTATTCAGGAAAAGATGCATGGGTATCGCTATATTTAGTAAAATGTACGCGCCATATAATTTATGTGCTACATAGGCCGAAAAGCGAAAAGTCAAATGAGAAACTAAAGAAAAAGAGTAAGGAGAGTTTGTAAACTGGTGAGTAGTTGGAAAGCTAGTGTGTGCTTAGAGAGATGAGAGAACACTGGACAGTGAAATGCATGCCCATATGCAGGGAAGCTGGGTCCACTTGAGAAAGTGTTTTTAGGTAGCTAAGAAAGCAAGTATTAACAGAATGATCAGCAGAAAACGTGGAATATGAATTAGAATGTAACAAGGAATTAGACTATATTCGAGAGAAGGCTTATGTACTTTGAGGTAAGAATTTAATTGTAACATTAAAAGTATAGCCCCAGTGACATTTTGACATCTTACCAGTCTGTTTCTGTTTTCATGGTAGTTTTGAAGGGAATACACATTCTCTTGGAATCTGACTAAACCAGCCTTCTGTGTTGGTTGTATTCAGCCAATAACCCAAGGAAGTTTATCTAACTTTCAAAATGCCCTTCTTGGATATTTTTAGATTGATCATATGTTCTGTAGCCATGAAAGTATTAATAGCAAACAAACAGTTGATGAAATATAATCAATGCTATGTACATATTTTCAATTTAATTCTTATAACTTAGTTTATTTTTGTACTATCTGTGTTGGAACCTTATATGTTTGTACCCATAATTTAGATTAAGACCATCAATTTCTCATGTAAAATCAGGAAGTACCAAATATTTTAAGAGATTGCCAATGTAAATCATAGTCATAGTTCTCTACATTTTCTGAGATCAAACAGGTAAGTAGTCAGAATTTATTTGCTTGATAATTTATTTGATTTTCTGGGAATTCATGTTTCTCTCTATTTGATGTAGTGAACTTACTTAGCTGTGCATTGCCTAAGGTTATACATTTTTCACATTGTTAAACCCCAGTCCCATCTTTTCTCACTATCAAGCTGATCTAACAAGAACACAGTTAATAAAAATTACTGTAGGAAGTTTCCAGCATGCCTATCCCCACCCCCATCAGGACTGATAGGTTGCCTAGGAGCAGTGGCTGAGAAAATAGAGGAATCTTCTCTGTATTGCTCTGGCTTTTACCTTTAAAAAAAAAAGTTGCCTCAGCGTAAAGGGAGTACTATACTTTATAGAACCATCTATAAATGGAAGCATCCTCCCTCCCAAGAAGCTGCTTCTCCCATGGCGACTACAACTGTGGACAAGCCTGGAGGTCACCCTCCCTTACAATCGGAGCCCTTCCTTTCTCGCCCCCTTGCTTCTGCTCGCTGGGACTCTGTCAGAAACCAAACAAACAAAACATTCACAGCTAATTAGCAGGAAAAAAGCTTCTAAAAGGCTAGGAGGCATTTGTAGCAAGCTGAGTTGCCTACCCTTCGACTTAAACAGATCTTCGGAGGGATGAGGCAGCAGCTTACTTTTAGTACTATAAAAACTTTTTAAAAAAACTTTTCAGACAAACGTACTTTACATAGAAGATACGTAAAAAAAAAATGAAAAGGGATGGAGAAGTTTACCTGAAGTTTTATCAAGCTGAAACTCTTACTGTTACAGAAGGACAAAGGGGATAGAGGCAAACTACCTCACAACATAAAACAAAGATTCCTTACTTCTGCAAGTACTCAGAGATCCAAAAGCAGAGTAGAATTTTGTAGGTTATTGCTATATATAGCAAAGATAAAAAGCACAAAATGTTAGTTAGATAGGATGT